TAATAGAAAATGACGTTCCGAACGTCGTAGGCATTTAAAAACCTAAAAAATTTTTTTGATCCTTCAGATTCGGATTCAGATTTGTCAGATACGGATACGGATACGGATTCAGATACGGATACGAATTCGGATTCGGATTCGGATTTGTCGGATTCGGATCAAATCGGATTCGGATTTTTCGGATTCGGATCAAATTGGATTTTGCCCAAATCCGATCCGATCCGATCCGTGCGGAACACTACTCGCCTGTACTTCCAAATATGAAAAAATTTTATGACAAAAAATTTTGTAAGAATTCAACAAATGACGAAGGCAAAGTTTTGATATGTAGTCATGCATATCATGAAGAATATTTTCGGGTAGTGGGTTTAAAATGTAAATATTGTTATAAATACTTAAATAAATCTATTGATGAATTAACAAAATCATATAATCAAAGATTGCATTTGGAAGAAACTCAACTAGAATTAAATGATAAGGAAATAGATGAAGATAATTGTGAAGTTAAGAAGTCAGATAATTATAAACCGAAGATTGAGGCTGATTCTGAATTACAAAAAAGAATTATAGGTACGTTAAAATATTGTATTAAAAAACTTTTTTAAAAATTCTAATAAATTGTACTTTTTAGAGTTTTGAAACCAAACTCTTTCCTTCATAAACCCACACCAAGCGTTACAGGATATAACTAATATCTTGCCAAATATATCATAATGTGTATTAAAACTATTAAAACTAATATTTTGTAAAATAAAGTTTTCATATAACAATTTTTTGTTCTTTTTTTATTAAAATTTAATTGGTTAATCAATATTAATCATCACGTGAAATTAAACCAATAAATGGATTTTTAACCATGCTTTTTTTTAGTTAAATAAATAAGATTTAATATTATCCTAAAAAAATTTTTTTAGAGTTTTCTTCTTTTTTATTGCAAAGCTCTCATAAAGGTTTTTACTAAAGATGGTTCCCATAATTATTTTTAAAATTTTTAACTAGTTACAACTTAAGTTGCAATATTTTGAGTTGCAACTATTTATGAATTTTTATATTAAAATAAATTTACAAGGAATTGCAACATACCAAGTTGCAACTTCTTAATTATGGTGCTCATCTTTAGTTTTTACTATTATTTTAATATATTATTTTCATAATTGTCAATATGTATTTCATGATAATGTTATAAACTTTTGATAAAATGTACTAGAGTTTGCAACCTGTCTTTCACAAAATCCATAATTACTTGATATTCTAAATGTATACTGTTAGTCTACAAATGAGTTAGCATTTAAAGATTTTAATATTTGATATTCTATGTACTTTACTAATAAAAAGAAAATAATCATTATTATGCTAACATTATTATTAAAAAAGAAATATTACAATTCTTACCTAAAAATAGGCTGATTGATAATCAGCTTTTATGTATTGATAATATAGATAAATATGGAAGGTGATCAGTAGGAAAGGGGAAAATCCAAAATTTTTGTTAATTTTTATTATTAAGCTAAATATGTATAAATGATTGAGATCAGTCAAGTGGTTCAATAATATAAATTTTGACCGAAATTTAGATTTCCCTTTTCCTACTGACTACCTCCCATACATTAATAATAATGATGATAATCCTGAAGACTTATAGTAATAGATAATAATTTTGTTTTTACTCTTTTTCTGTCTTCTACTGAAGAAAATACTATCTTATACACTTTTAGTCAAATATAAGCTAATATTGTATGTACCTTTCTAAAATTATATTTGATATGTAATGCTGATATTTGATCTTATTATGCTATAGATGTTAAGCTTGCAGAATATGGATTGTGATCTAAGAAAATCAAGTTCTGAGAATTTTTTGACTAAAATTAATATCTTATTACATTTTAATCTAAATGTAATAAAATTAAAATGCAATTAAAATCTCAATTTTAATAAAAAATTCTCAGAACTTGATTTTCTTAGATCATAATCCATATTTCTTGTATTTGCTCAAATAAAATGATGGAAGATTTATGTGTTACTCATAATAATGCTATTTTATTCTAAATTTTTAGATGTAATGGAGAATACTCAGAAGGAAAACTATATATTAAACAGAATCTAAATAGTAAACAATATATAGTCAAAGAAATGCAAAAGATAATAAAAAATGATAATTATATGGTAAAGAAAATTATATATTTTAGTGAAAATTTATATAGAACTCAGCAGATTTAAAACAAATAATAATTTGAGTTGATGAATATGATTAAACAATTAGGATTTTAAGAATTGGTTTTTTTACTTTTAGTATTGCTGATTTGCATTAGTCAGAACTATATAATCTCATGTCATATGGTAATAATTCATCAAAATAGAAAAGAAATGAATGTAAACATTGAAATTTAATTAACAATTCTCATATTATTACATGGCTTTTTAAAAAGCAGTTTAAATTATTTTTGAACAATATTTTAGTATTTAAATAAAATCTTAAAAATTGGTAATATGCAATATATAAGTAACACTTTTACATACATGATATTGGAAAAAAAAAATGCTTCTATAATTGAGTAAGATAAAATAAAAGATGATAATCAGATAATAAACAATGTAGAGAAATATCTGGATTCATTAATAACTATAATCAATCCTAGTCTTAATGCATTTGTGCCTAATTATCATTTCTGCTAAAAACATACTGAAGAATTAACCAATAACCTATAATATTACATCAATTTAGTTAACAAATTACAAAGATATACATAATACAATCCTTCATATTATCTTCATATAGATCATACAGATCAATAATATTGCAGATTCAGATATCTAAAAGAGATCACAAAAAGTATACAGTCGATCTCCTTTACAGTCACCTCCTATACAATCACATCATATAAATCCTCTGTTATAAGCACACCTTTCATAAAAACCAGTTCCTATTAACACTATATAAAAAACCCTTCTATAATCACAATGTTATTATAGTCACATCATTTTGGAACCAATACTTAGTAATACTATAAAAAAATCCTTCTATATAGTCACTTTTCACTATAGTCACACTTTTTATTTTTGGTCTCAAGGGGTGTGACAGTAGAGAGGATCGACTGTATACTTATAGAATAATAATAAGAAACCCTAACTGGTAATAATAAAGAATGATCTATTTGTTAATCCACATGATCAATTTCAACTTCAGAGTTAATACACAAATGTGAACTTAAAGCATATTTTAAGTATAAGGATGACTTTGCAATATTTAAATATGCAAACAAATCTAAATTATGATCTGTTGCTTATTCAGAAATATTAAACAACTTTCTTAAAAAAACAATCCTGATGATTCAGCCCTATATATATTTTAATATTTATTATTTTAAATTATTGTAAAGGAAGAAATATATTATTTTCTCCTTGACATTCTTCTATATCATTCTAGTCATTATTTCATAATTTTAAATCTTAACAAAGAGTTACCCTAATAGCTTTGTGATATTAGAAGAATTAGAAGAAACAGAACTGATTTTCAGAGATTGATAATATAGAACAAACTGTATAATTCTTACTGCAAAAATACTGGAATAGACCTATTGAACTTGAATAACTTTTTCTCTTTCAATTCTATTTGGAATATAATTTTTGAAAAAATCAGTGAAAAGGTTGTAAAAGAAAAAATATTATGCATATCTCACTTCAGCATAATAAACTTTAATGGGATAAATATTATCAGATAAAAGTTCTTCTTCATATTGTATACCATCATGATCTTAGTTAATTAATTTTAAAAGATAGTATTTCTTGATTAGAACTATATAATATGAGGTCTTTGCAATAGAAAAGAGAAAAACTCTGAAAAAATTAAAAATGAGTTAATACTAAATTTGAACATATTTTAGCTGAAAAATCATATTTAACATATAAAAGTAAAATTAATTTTTTCTGGAAGTAGTTTCCTCTCTTTTTATTATAAAGGTCCTATATGCATTATGAAAAATTGGAAAAGTTGCTTATTGATTTACTTAATACTTCTATAGATAATTTAAAAAATGAGTTGATTAATGATGAAAGTGATCAGAAGTTGAAAGATGAAAATGAAGAAGAAATAAGAAACAATCAGATGATCCTATTAGAGATGAGACTAAACATAATTATTGAAATTTCTTTAAACTTGTGATTTATGTAATATTGATCAAAAATTTTTAATATTAGGCAGCGATATTTAGATCTTAATCTTACTGATACATAACTTCTCACAACTTATGCATTATTAATAATGATAAAGATAGTGTCAGTTTTGTAAATATTTATACGTTAAATAAAAAACTGATGATGATATTCAAGTGAATTAAATCTTATTATAAAACCTTAATCATGAATCCTGATGACTAGAGCTCTGAATTAAACCAGTGATCCAACCTGACCTGACTTGAAAAATTCAGATCAGGTAGACAAATTTTCAGGTTAACATCAGATTGGATTAAGTTTATGATCTGACCTGATGAAATTCAGATCAACTAATCAAATTAAACAAAATAAAATATTTAAAAAAATTTTTTTTGATCTATTTTTTTTTTTAAAATATCTTTAATTTTATTTAATATACTTTCTTTTTATATTCTAATAAAGTAGTTTGTATAATTACTTTATAATTTATTATAATCAAAATGTTAAATTTTAAATTATAAATATTTTTTGCAATTACATTGTTCAACAAATTAATTAAATTTTTTTTTATCTGTTAAACTATTTCAAAGAGATATTTGAGCATTTTGGTCAAAGGAAATCAACTTTGGTCATGTAAGTAAAGTTGTTTAACAGATTTGAAAATATCTGCATATAAATTTTTATTATAATTGAATAATGATTATAAAGTTGTATACATTTTTTGTAATTGTATTATTTCCTGAATTTTTTTATTTTTATTTTTTATTTGTAAAGTAACTTCAAAGAGTAATTTAAGTATTTTGGTTAAAGGAAATCAACTTTGGTTGTATAAGTAAAATTGTTCAACGGGTTAGAAATATGTATTTATAAATTTTATTATGATTGGATTAATGGTTGTAAAATTCTACACACATTTTTGTAATTGTATTTATCATCTTATGTACAAATTTTTTTATTTTATTTTTTATCTATACAGTGACTTCAAAGAGCAATTTAAGTATTTTGGTTAAAGGAAATCAACTTTGGTTATATATGTAAAGTTATTTGGCAGGTTCAAAATATGTGCATATAAAATTTTATTATGATTGGATTAATGGTTATAAAATTATGAATGTTTTTTGTAATTGTATTAGCAGTCACCTAATTTGCATATTTATCACAACTTGTAATTTTAAATTCTGCAATTAAAATAATTATATTAGTATTTTTTTTTTGAAAAATAATCAAATATAAAAATGTATCAATATTTTTTAGATAGATCAGGTCAAATGTATATTTAATTCAGGTCAATTTTATGTCTGACCTAACCTAATTTTATCAAGTTGTGTCAAGTCAATTACTTTACTCGACTTAACTGTTCAGAGCTCTACTGAACCACTAAATCTTATTGTGATAAGAATTGCAGGAATATAAAAATTATATTTAATTAATATGATTAGGCATCGTTTTCAAAAAATTGCAAGAAATTATAATGTTACTACAAAAAAATTACTTATTATAATGTTTGTAATAACTGATATTATAGTATTCAATATTCATAGCA